ATCTATCCTACCAACTTTGTCAAAAATTTTTGAAAAGCATATTGCTAATCAAGTACGTGAATTTACGAGAACTTTTGACCTCATTATGAGCTCACAGTCTGGTTTTAGGGAATTCCACTCTTGCCAAACAGCACTAACCAAACTTACCGATAACTGGTTGCATGAAATGGACCAAGGAAATTTAATTGGCATAGCTTTTCTAGATTTTAGTAAAGCGTTTGATTTAGTCAGTCATGATATCTTAATAGAGAAATTACGACATTATAATTTTGATTCACTAACAATCAAGTGGTTCCAATCATATTTAAACGAAAGGAAGCAAAGTGTAAAAATTGGCGCATGTTCTTCCGATATTTTACCTATCACAGCAGGGGTGCCACAGGGATCCATTTTAGGCCCACTCCTATTTTTATTGTATATAAATGATCTTCCTTTATGTGTAAATTACTCTAATATTGATATGTTTGCGGACGATGCAACTCTGCATTTACCTAACAGCAATGTACATAATATTGAAACACATTTAAATTCTGATTTACGTGAAATTGAAAACTGGTGTTTACAGAATCAAATGATACTGAACACAGACAAATCTAAATGCATGCTTATGTGTACACAACAAAAAAGATCAAGATTAAATAACCCAGTACTTGATGCAAAAATTTCTGGCAAAAACTTGGAAAATGTTGAAGTTGAAAAACTCCTAGGTATTCAGATAGATCAATCTCTTCAGTATAATTGTCATGTTGATGCAGTTTGTAAATCCCTGAGATACAAATTATTTACGCTCCGTAAAATTAAGAAATTTCTTCCATTAAGTACAAGAAAACTTTTCTATAATGCATACATCTTGCCTACAATAAACTATTGTCTCACAGTCTTGGGTAATACGTCCAAATGTAACATTGAGAGAATTCATAAGTTCAGAAACGGGCTGCTAGAATTATTCTTGATGCAGCACCTGACCAACCATCTAAGCCTTTGTTTGAAAAACTAGGATGGTTAAATGTTTTTGAGTTAGTTACGTTTCATAAATGTATTTTATTATATAAAACTTTTTATGGTATGAGTCCAGAATATATCCAGAATCTTTTTATTTTTCACAGTTCTGAATCATACTCATTGCGTTCAGAATTTAATTATAATCTTCGATTACCAAAGCATCGAACAATCTTATTTACAAACTCTTTACAATATTCTGGTGTACATTTATGGAATAGTCTACCGTTACATGTTAAATTATCGCCATCTTTACCTGTTTTTAGAAAGAATTTGGAAAAAGTTATAATTAGCCAACGTCTGTAATTTTATTATAATAGATGTCCTTTTTATTGATATTACCTATGTCTTTTAAACTTTGTATATTGACTTATTTATTGTCTTATATTTTCATTAATTTGTATACTACATTCGATTATGAAGTTATAGAATGAGCTTATCATTTTCATGTACATTGTATATATGTTTGATTGTACCATTTTATGTATATTGTTTGAAATGTAGAAGGCCCCGGGGAAGAATAGTAATTTGTACTAATCGGGTTACCTTCTTTAAATAAAGCATTATTATTATTATTATTATTAATGGTCTTCTCAAAATAATTACATATATGTAAGTATGAAAGCACTATTCCTTACCGTTCAAAAGTTATGGACAAGGTTAAAGTTTTTTCACAAGGATGGAAATCTCCAGGGTCAAGGTCAAAATTTCATAGTCGTTGGTATTCAATGAAAGTTCTTTCAACAAAAATATATATGTGAAGTATAAATGTCCTGGTATTTACTGTTCAAAAGATTTGGATAAGTTTGGATTTTTTGTGTATAAGTGAGTCAAACTTTAAGGTCAAGGTCAAATTTGTTGATACTCAAAAAAAGGTTTTGTCACAAGGAATACACGTGTGAAATATGAAAGTCATAGCTCCGCTAAATATGGTTATAAATAAAGTTATGGGAAAGGTTAAATTTTCTGCGGATGAACAGAGAGACAGCTAGACAGACAGACGGACAAGACAAAAACTATATACCCCCGAAACTTCGTTTACGGGGGCATTCAAATTTTAATTATATAGTAAATAGTGGTAAAATGTAAGTAAAGACCAAGTAATGTAATTACTTATATACACAAATTTAAGCAAATATAAATTACTAAGTAAAACTTTTTAGTGTGTAAGTAAAACAATTCTTTAAAATACAAAAATCAAGTAAAACATTTGAATCTAGTAATTGACATATATTTCAGTAATTGATTTTAAATTTTAAGTAAATGCTTAGTAATTATCTATTACTTATCTTTTTTATTTCAAGTAAAAAATGACTACTAAGTAAAACTTTTTTAAGAGTGTAGATATAATTTTTCCTACTTTAAAAATTTCAGGGACGTATTTTTCTCTAATTATAGGGTCACGTGTCTCGGAGAAGTAAATGTAATCATGTTCTGTCGAACGGTATATTTATTAAAATCTCAAACGAATTAATATCCTGATTAGAAGTGTGCAATGACGAGACTTTAATCTAAAAATAACGCTTACCTGTTAAATGTTCCGTTGTAGTATGGTAAATAATAGTTTATGTTCCGAATTCCTATTACGATCATCTTTATATAAAGAGATTTTTAAATGTCTAATTTCAAATAGATTCACAAATGTAATTTATACTTAACGAGTTATTTTAAATTCGTTTGATCGATAAATTGTTTAAAAATTATTTTACATAACAATAGGACTTTGATCTGTGCTAAAACTCGCATATGTATTTTAAAGATCTCAGTAAAAAATCCAACAAGGCACAAAAACAGAGAGAAAATAATATGAAGTTGTGAGCAATTTCAAAATAGAAAATCTGTTTTTATCAACATTTTTCTAGACTGTTACATGAAAGAAAATATTCTCATGGGTATTTTTTTTTTGTAATCACATTATTAAGCTCGCATTTCACAAGGAAACAACATTTATCCATCTACAGCTTTCTTATTTGAGTTTACATTATTCGAGTGCAAAACATTGTATGCAATTAACTTTTAAAATTGAGTATATTACCTTTGTCGTCAAAGAAACACAAATTATTGTAATTAGATATCTATAACTCGATATTTTTTCTGTACTCAAGAATTTATCCACTTTAAGAGACACTAAATATAATGTCCACCAACCGCTCTTTGAATCATTTGGGAGTTTATAGTTTTTGCCCAGTCCGTCTCTCTGTCTGTCTATTAATTTGTCTGTCTGTTTATCCGCAAAAAATACCTTACACATTACTTTTGATTTGATGGGGGTATGGCTTTCATATTTCACTGTATTTCTTGTGACAAGAATTTTCTTCGGGTACCACCAATTTGATCTGTTAACCCTTGACCTTAGAGTTTGACCTATTGTAAACAAACCAAACTTTAATCTAAGCCACAACCTATGAGCAGATGGTACTAGGGCTTTAAAATTCCGCAGGTGTATTTATAGAGACGAGACCTTTCAATGGCTATAGCATCATCTCGGGTCTTTCCGTCAGAGGTTGTAGATCACGGTATGTTAAATATTTATGCATTTCCTGTTTATTTGAATATAAGGTAGATGGAGTTAGAAGTCCATTTTATTGTACATTTTAGGTAAAATCATTACATTGAATAAAGTTAAACTCCATATGCCACAGATAAAAGGTCTCCATGCATTTATTTCAAAGATCGTGAGAAGGGAGGGTAGTCATGGCGTCTACCATATACATTCGAGGTCGTTTTTGCGCTCGTCGGAAAGGCACGAGAAGTTGCCATTGCTTTCAATGGGTCTAGATATGACCTTATCTTGATCTCAGAGTTTGAGCCACTTTGATAAATTTTAACCTTGGTCATAACTTGTGAACAAAAATACAAGGGCTTTCATGTTTCATATGTGAATTCCTTGTGAAAAAACCTTCCTTTTGATACTCAGACACACTATTGACCTTAAGACTTTGAATTTGACATGCATTTGAAAAACTTCAACCATCGACATATGCAATCAGACTGGGGCATCAGTATTTCACAATCACATCTTCTTACTTAATTATCTTTAATTTGTAGATTCAAAATTTTTCTTTTGAGTATTTATTTCTAAACAAAGAAGGATCAATATTTAGTAAAATGACTGGATTCAAAGAACGTCATGGAAGGTCGTGGTCTCTGAAGCCTAGAAGAATTCCAACATTTACAATGACATGTTACATTGACGAATAGTAAGGATTTAGTCGATCAAGCAAATGTTCTGAAAACTGATCATCTATTCAAATACATTTTTACGATCAGTCGTAGTCTATAGCTTGGTCAGTTTTCACCGGATGTAAGCGTGTTTAAAAAGGTATCACTGTTGGAGCAATATATATCTTTTTGTTATCTTTTGTAAAGTTATCCATAAAACGTCTAAGAAAGCGGAAGAATCAAATTATCATGCAAGATGACGAAACCTGTTTACGTGAATAGCGTTTTGGAAGTGTCACTTTGCATAGTTTGTAATTTATTTTTTGCTCAACTTTCATATATAGAACTCCCATCGGATCGAATGTATATACTCTATAGTTATTTGATGCTGGACAGTATAAATCTGACAGGGTTTTGAAAAATTTACCATATAATTCTGAACATACAATACACATAAAAGTTTCTATAAATGAATAAACAATCCCCCCAACTGTTATTAATCATTTTCAATGTTAATCAAGCCTTACATAATTTAAATCAAAAGATATATTTTATAACTTGATAAATTATCTGATATATTTTTTTATTCAAATAAAAAAAAGTGGTATTTGAGTCTTTACTTATCACAATAGATATGTACAAAATAAATTTGCCTCATTGACATGTAGCCAGTTATATCCTGTTACTGCTGATAAAATTTACAACACCTTATAATGTTATCTTTTGATATCATATTTATATCTTCAGGACTATCACAACACGTCACACAATGAAGTCAAATATTGTCTGTACTTTTGTGTTGTGATGACTAGATGATGTTTGTTGGAGTTTAGTATGCTTAAATATGATGAGGACGTTACTCGTTTTATTATTTTGTCTAAAAAGTAAGTAGTTTTAAATGTTTGGGTTTTTTTTTTGTCTAAAAAATAGGATAAAATATGTGTCCCATAAATTCAGTGAAACATGTGCAGGATAGAATTGATTAGATAACACTTTTTTATTTAAATTTTATCATTATGAACCTTCTTTTTAAATGGATTTTGGATACATCTATAATATATATTTTATGAAGCAAAAAATATTGCTAATGTACATGTATCTAACTGATTAACTGAATGATTTTCAGGTGTAAGAATTTAAATAATCTTTGGATAAGTTAATATTAAATACATGTAAATGGAATTTTAAGTGGATATTTTCTACCTATCAATTTTTAGTGATCAAATAATTACGTTTCAGGTGTTTATTGTGATCTCTGCTTCAACAAGTTTACTGACAACACATTCTACTGCCAGTCAAGATGCTGTGATTATCAATGTTGTGTTGCCTATGATGACGACAAAAATTGGTAAACCCCGAAAGTATATGAGGATTAATTACTGTAAAATCACATATTTTCAAGGGTCAAACTTTTGTGGTTTGAGGAAAATATATTGATTCATGGGGATTCAATTTCGAGGTTGAAGAATTATTCAGTAGTAATATATGTGAAAAATTGCATTTCTTGGTGGACAAAAATTCGTGGGTCTTTTCATGCCTTGAAAACAACGAAAATTAAACCCCCACGAAAATGAATAATTTCACAGTATACCATATACATGTATATTATTTTTAAAAACAGTAAACATACATTCTTGGTCGCTTTTAAGAGAGAGAGAGAGAGAAAGAGAGAGAGATGTATGTTTATATTTGGTTTATAACTTCAGTAACTGTTTTGATATGCATATTTTTTTCATATGCACTCCGGAACACATAATTTGCATATATTAGACAAAATAAAAATTGTAAAACAACTATAAAATAAGTTTTATATATTGTTGTTGCCCTGTTTATAATATGTACTTATGAACATATAAATACGTATATATTAAATCTACTTTGATAAAGTATAATAAGAATAAACTTTTAGCACACGTTTTCCAAGCCAAGAGTGCACGGATATTACATACATGTAAATGTACTTTATTGATTTGTGTCCTACAAGCAATCTCTGAGTTAAGTTTCTTTTCTCGATCGCAGAGCATTTTAGACGACACTGTTTATTTGAAAAAAATTAAATTCATCTAACATGTTAAACTGTATGTATTCTTCTTTTATCTCAAGTTATATTTAAATGAGATAAAAATTTTAAATTAACAGGAGCAGTGACGAGGTAGCGGGAGCAGTCGTGGGAACACTGTTAGGAGGGACGATATTAGTTCTAGTTATGATATATATAGTAAGGAATTTCTGCTTAAGGAGACCCAACTCTCAGTCAGGATTTACAACTACCAGGATTGCTATCATAAGTAACGGTATAAATGCATCTGAGGAATCCATTTTTTTATATCAGTTTCGCTTGAAAATTGTATCAAAAGACTGGGCTATAATTAATAATCAATGATTACTTTTAAAACATCCCTTCAAAAAAATAATGGAAATACAGTACATTAAACTGTATGACAATCGAGGTGACCTCAGATTGGTCAGATTTCCTTATTTATGTAGCATTACGTCACTTGCTTATATGGTGTTTATGTCTCTTAGCTTCTCAACCTTGCTCTTAGTTCGATCAATTTTAAAAAGACAGGCTACTCAGTGATAAGTTGATGTTACAGCGATTTCAACATGCTCGTTTAAAGTCGGTATTTCGTAAATTTTATGGTCGTTATAATGACCTTATTTGCAAATATTACGTATCGTGGAGTCGTAATTTATCTTGTTTCATACAAATTATTAGCCATTTGATTTCATACTGAGTCGACCACCTATAGTTTTATCTTCCTTATCAAATCATAGGGCGCACGGCGGGTGTGACCTGTCAACAGGGGGTGTTAATTCTTTCTTGGCATTTGACCCCATCTCCTTGTTTTTCAATTAATTGTATTATATATACATTTATTTTTTCATTGATCACTGTTCGTTATCTTTTCCTTTTGTATTATTTCAAAAAATATTACAAATGAGATCCTCCATTCACTTTGACTTTTATGCTTTCGGACTTATTTCAAGTGTAATGAAAAATAAAATTCAATGCTTAAAACAAATATGCAGTTGCAATCCCTAGTAGTTAGATGAAGCTCGTTTAGCTGTGCTACTTATCTCTAATATAGATTTTAAATTATAAAATTAATAAATATAATTCTAAGAGGACTTTTATTCTGTAGTTATAACGTAGAAGTTTGAAATGAATTTTTAATAAAATAAAGCTTTATATAGGTCAAACAGAGCAAATTCCAATGCAATCAACTGCGGGTAAGTTGTCAAGATACCCACCATCCTATGAGGAATCACAAGCTACTGTTATAGGAAGGACAACATACACGAGATTCCAGGACGAAGAGTAAAACAGAGAGAGAGAGAGAGAGAGAGAGATACTTGTGCGGGGATTGGGGTTGTTTCCATGTTATCTACTTTACAGTGTAATGTTGGAAATATAATGACTACATGCTTTTGATACATATATGTTACTTAAAAAAACTTCAGTGAATATATGATGAGTCTACCAAAGATTACACATTTATCCTTATTTTTTTCAATTCATTTTAGATTCATTATGGTATTTTTCTTGAGGATTTATTCTATCAAATGAAGTGAAATGGTGTATTTTTAGGGTAAATTACCAAATAACAAGCATTAAAAGCTAATAGTTTTGTTGATGTTTCTGGTAAACATATATGATATTGTTTCCTTGGAAAATTTCAACCTTTACTCTCATTGGAATGTTTTGTAAATGATTTTGTTACGCAGTGCATGATGCATGTATATTATGTTTAATAAGTGCAGTGTAGATACTATATTAAATATCAGGATATTCCTTCCAGATCACGAGTTCTCGAAAGGTTGGTCGATGCATAATATGATAACTGAATAATGTGTTTGAGTTTTACACAATTTTATGTTCAAATGCGTATTGTATAAAACATTATCACTAAAAGCTAGAAATTCTCTACTGTTTTTCCAGTTTTTAAAGCGAATTGTTTACCTTTGTGAAATAGTATTTAAGTACACAGGAGTAGTCTTTCCTTTATGTCGATCAAGGCTTCATGCATGAATACATTAAGTTAACATGTAACTTATCGAAGATATTTGTTTAGAGTACATGATTGCTCGAATTGCACTGTATGCAGTATGAACTGACCAGTACATGTTAAAACTAAGACTTCAAATTAAAAGACATTTATCGAATCTGTACTGTTACACAAAGTTGCTTTTCTGTACTTTTCAATTTTTCTTTAAGTTCTTTTCTTAAATTATTTTATGTTAATGGATAAATATTTTTTTTAATAAAACACTAGAAAACCTTTATTTCTTTTGTAATCATTTTAAAAATAACTAATTTAAACAGCTCTTTTGCACACGTCTTAACTGTAAAAAAAAAAGAGTATATCAGAGGTATCTGTTTAAGACAGACATAAGAGAGTAAGAGATAAGGTGGAGTTATCAATATCTATACAATGTATGATGTTTCTCGACAACTACTTACTTTGTTATACAAAGACACCTTTCGAAATTTTAATAGATAAAGAGAGATTCACTCTCTTTTCCAAACTAATAACACCTATCAATTAAATGCAATTAACAAACTACAAACCATCAATAAAAAATCAAAAGCATTCAAATTCTCATAATTTGCCCTATTTATGCTAAAACTATTCATAAGTGCAATAATATTATACTAATTCTCAAAACCATTTAAGCTCCTGTTGACAAGTATATGGCAAATGCCAAATTAACATTTTGACAATACATGTACATGATGGGAAAATCGTGTCAGACTTTAAGGTATTTTTCAATCCAAAGATAAAGAAAGGGGACCACAGGAATTAAAGGCATTGCTCCTCACACATACAGTTTATACAGGTACCCACACACGGAAAACATTTCTTTACCTGCATATAAAAAGCTTATGCCAAAGAGTTTCTTTAAATTATGTTTGCTCAGGTTTTAATTTTACATAGATTTTTTTCTATGCTGAAAAAAATGATCATTTTACGCTGTTGGAAAAATTATTCCCAGTCTGACAATATGCAAGGGTTTTTTGACAAAAGATCATAGTAATTTAAATACGTTCTCATGCACTGCAGAGCTTTCCACTATTTGTGACTATTTATTTCTAAATAAGACCTTGAACTTTTTATGAAAAAAGAGTATTAGACTGAGTGAACAAAAATCAATTACTTAATACAATATTTGATCAAATCCAAGTACAGAAGTTGTAAAATATTGAAAGTTCTGTAAAACTAAACAAAGTGAATAAAAAGTAATTATAAATATTTCAATTTCATATTTTGATGCAAAATTGAAATAAAGTAAACTAAACATATTCTGCACCTAGTTACGCAATATTTGCATTTTTTTCTCGCCTTTCTGCAAATGTGGCAAGGAAAGCAAACATCAATGACTTAAAAAGATATAAACCGATTAGGATTTGAAAATTCTTTTACACAACTTTGAAAACTCAAACTGCCCGGGATATGGATTCTACTAGTAAGTATCGTCAATATATTCATGTTCAAGTTTATTTTTCTTATATATTTCATCATAGCCTACGATTTGTGCTACAAGTTATGTTGTTGGATATATATTTTTGTTTAATTTTTCTGTTCACAAAGAAAAAAAAATTACAAAGTTGTTCGTGTAACATACATTCATGTAACACTAGGGAAAATGGCCATAAACGTCTTTAAAAGATTAAACAGCAATTATGATCGCGTTAAAGAGCATTTCAACATCTTTTTTCAATTGTAAAATGTTCGTTGAAAATTATGCTCTCATAGATATAATCGTTTTCTTACGTATTTTCGCATATTGATATAAAAATTAATTAAATTTAATATCACTTTTGAAATAAGTAAAACACCAACAGTATCATATCGATAGAGATTAATACAATTTATTAAAAAAAAATTACTTATATTAATTGCATAAAACCACACCTAAAACCATCGTTATAAATGTTTCAGTAAAACTATTTTACCTCCATCTAAAAGTAACCTCAAACATAAAAATAAAATGAATATTATGTCAAATGTAGATGACAATTTAAGAAGTTCAGAAACGCTATTTTGAATATGACAGCGATTTGTATTTCTTGTATTTATATAACAAAGATTTAAACTGAGAAAAATGTCCTTCAATGTACAGGTATTTCACACATTTAAATATGTTTATTTGAATTAGAGAACATCTATTTATTTATATTTTTTATGCTAAAAAGTTTTGGAAACTTTTCAAACAAAAATTTAAAAGCGTTTTTAAGGAGGAATATGATATTCAAAAGAAATGTATTTTTTTTCAAATAACAAGATGAAAATCATTTGAATATTACTTTAAAAAATTAAAATAAACTCATCCTAATGACGCGTACATTATATATATATAAAACAATATTATATATACAGAAAAGTACTCAAAGCAAAAAAAAAAAGACTCTTTTTTTCTATCATTAATTCACTTTCAATGATTTTAGGCGACATTTTTTGTGATTTCAGTTTTTTTTATATGATTTAAATGTTTATACAGATACAAAACAATATTTTCAATGAAAAAAATGCAAGTATAAAGGTGGATTTCAAAGGGGAAAATCGTGAAAAATATGTTTCATCAATAGTCATTAAAACCTTTGAACATAATTTTCTTTCAACGTGTAGTTTATTTTCTTAAATAAGTCAGAAATTAAAACCCAGCTTTCACTAATTAACATTTGGTGAGAATTAGAGCTATAGAACTTACCATTTAAAGAAATACAGTACATGTATTAAAATTTTGAAGTCCTTTCATTGGGTAAAAGGAAGTAGTCCTGATATCACACGATCAATAAAAAAATCACATAATGAAAAAGTGCATCCTTTGACAAATATTTGAAATAAATATTGTGTATTGATAAATGGCAAACATCTTTTATAGTTGTTTTTTCGTATCCTATTTTTATACTATATTTGCTTACTTGAGATAGTTTTCCTAACCTTGCGTTCATAATGCTCAATCAAAAATCGGCGAATAAGTGACAGGTAATTCCTTTGTAACACATGAGTATCTTTTCAATAACTATCTTTTCAAAGTAGACGTTTTGACCCAAGTGTACAAAAGTTGAGCATTGCATTAAATATGTAATTATATATTTCTATAAACTGAGATCCAATATTAGATTGAAACGTTTATCCCACACATATTTATCTATGAGGGGTCCAATATATATTCCCCTATTATAGTTTTTAAAGCAAATAATGGAAAAGATAAGAAGCACACAAGAGTAAGATCAAAATTATTTCTCTCATTACGTTCAACTAGAAAGATGTACATTGTAAATTCTTGTGAAAAAAAACCCTATAAAAATATGTGATACTAGTGAGTAATTGAATTGTCTTAATAGAGAGAGGAAAAAACGTTGTTAGACCAGATAACCAAACGAATACAGAGAGAAGAAAAAACATGTCTTCCAGTCATCTGTCTGATGTTGAAATCAATGGCGTCATTTCCGGAGGGACAACCCCAAATAATAATAACGTTGAAACGGGTAAGAATGTAGAAAATATAATAGATTCTTTGGCACTGTACATAAAACTAAGGAGTTTGATTCCATAGAAAGTATTTGCAGTTTTAGATTGTCTTGACTTAATGTCGTAGGTGTGAAAACAAATTATTTAAATTGATTCCATAAGACACATAAGAGTTCTTAGTATTATTATGTAACATATACAAAATTACAAAGCCATATTTGATTATTTATTTTACATGCATTTATTTTTGTCCATTTATGCATTAAAAAACATTTAATTTATATCAGTTTTTTACTTTACTTTTCACCTGAAAAAAAGTTAATGGCAATGTTCTGATACTAAGGGAATTAATAAAAACCCCTATCAGAGCCAGTTATGCACATACTACATTCGTACTTATTAGAAAGCTTTGTAAATCGTTTTATTGTTAATTTTCTTGTACGTAAATATAACTATATAACTATCAAATATTTTCTGCATTTTTAAATAAAACAGTACTCTACGTATTTAATGTTTATATAACATGTGTTTGATATTTAGATGATACGTCAAAAGGCGAAGGAACCGCCCAGAGTGAATTCAAAAGTCATTCAATTGGTAATATATTTTTATATAATATTCCAAATTAAATAAGGGAGCCAATGTAATCAATGTTATTCATCTGGAGCTTTAATATGCTACATTGTAAACAATATATTAGTTGTTTCCCTTGTCTTAAAAGCAAGATAAAAGAGATGTGTGCACTAATATGCATTTATTTTGCAAAAGTCAACATAAATGTACCACTTTTTTCTCGCTTCTCATTTAGAACACAAAATATTTTCTTCACGAGGTGAATAAAATTGGTTTTGGCACTGTGCATCTATTACTTGGATGATCCTAAGCATTTATCGTCAAGTTAATTAAAGCATAATAAATCTTATTATATCCAGAACTCTACTTTACTCGTGATCTTTAACGTCTATTTCTTTTTCCAGGAACCGGACCGCTTCTGATCTCTGTCAGTATATGGTTTGTTGCCATTCCTTTCGTCATCTTTGGGGTCGAGTGGTCAAATATTGCCTTCCATAGCAAGGTAGAAGTGGTCGCCACCATGGTTGTGTATTTTTCCTTCGGAACCGTAGCGGTTATAGCCTTCTTTATATCTTTGTTACTTAACGCTTTAACTGAGAAAACTCAACAGACATTTCTACAGAAAATATTGAACTACTGGAAAGAGCTGAGGAAAATGCATTTTCCCAAAGCAAACGCTGGGATGGTCATTCAGTTCGTATTGTTTATTATCTTCGCCTGTGGGTATACATTTAATACCTTTACTTATGCCGAGCATTTGCATACTGATCATGTTGACCAAGGTCTTCTGACGTCATATTCTGTAGTTTGCATCGCATTCATATGGATTCAGGTAATTGTACTTATATTTCTGCAATTTTACGACAAGAAAATATCAAGCGGAGGAAAAGTCCTTCGAATGGTTATAATCGTATCCAATGCCTGTAGCTGGATGAACGCTTACTTGTTCGAATCCTCCGAAATATTTGAAAACAAGCATGAATCAACTTCAAACGCCACGTCACACAATTCTACAAACGAACATTGCTTCGATAGCACTCACGAAATCGCAGAAATAATGTTCGCCCCAGTAACTATTGAATACACAATGATGGCAATCGGGTTTTTATTTCCGACTGCGTTGGAAGATGTAAAATACCAAAGGAGTTGGAAAATGACTAGCTTGATTATAGCTTCCTTGATTATCTACGAAGCAAGTGTATTTGGATTCTCCATGTATGTCGTTTTGCAATGTACAAAAATTGATGAAACAAAAGGAATTCCCATAGAGTTCTTATTCTATGTCATTCTAATTGCTATTTTGTTCACAGCTATGATTGCTCTTCTCATAGTGTGCGTGATTCTGAAATCACGGTCCAAACTTCGGAAGTCGAAAGACCAACATTTACACATGGGATCTTTTATATTATTAGTTACTGCTTTCGGAAATAATTTGTACCACCTATTGAATTCCATTGCAGTCTTGGAGCTGGATTCCATATCTGTTTTCTATAAAAGTGTTGCTTTCGTACAGAATATTCTAGGACTTGTCCTTGCATTTCTACAGACTTGGTTTCTTCTAGCCATTCATAGATATGATGTAACGGACGAAACCCGAAGGAATCCGAACAGCGATAGTGGATGTACCTGCCATGCCAAGACCAGTCTAAAACACAGCTGCCTCGCTCTGGCGGTAATGAACTTTGGATTGTGGACCTACGGAAGCATTGCGGAAATCCGGGAACCTGTCTTCTCGTACTTACAGCAGAAATATTACACAGGCCCCTCGTGGAACGTGATACTGAAGATTATTTTTCCTTTGACTATTTTTTATCGATTCCATTCATCAATGGATTTTCTGAATTTATGGCTTCATTTTGCAAAGGAGGATTGAACTTGGAGAGGAATTAAAAGAAAAACAAACACAAGTTCATGAAATTTTTATTAAAAAATTAATTTTGTGAATTTTGAAAAAAAAAATGTTTGTTCTTCCTTCAATCGCAATGCATCATAAGGATGATAAGTATGGTATAGATGGTGAAATAACTTAGAAAGCCCCGCCTTTTGTGTGATAAGAATACCAGGCCCCGGGATCATGAAGCATCTTAAGCTTAAGTCAAAAAATGCCTTAGATGCTGAAATTTTTTAGAGGTCAAGCAGCCCAAAATGAAAATGCTTTCCGATTTTGTATCATCAGTCTGCTGTTGTATGCAAATTATGAGTTTCCTTTAACAAGTTTTAAAGATTTTATAGAAATTTAAAATTTTGACTTAAGTCTGTTTCATGATCCCGGGGCCAGATGTTTGTAAATGGATTTTAAAGTATTGCACATGTGCAATTAGGTGTTATTTAGCACTATATTATTTTGTTTGATTGGTTTTGCGGTAATTCTATTTGTGAATAGTTTTTCTTTTGTTACAGTTTCTTATTTTGTGTTTATCTTCTGCGGTTTGATAACTGTTTATTTTAATTTTCGTTCTTGAATTTTCTGTTTGTGATCATTAAACGTTCTTAAACTTGCTATGTTGTTATACTCTCAGGCTGGTTATTAATCATATTTTTTGATTTCCAATTCTTCTCATGGCAACAACGCATTTATCAAAATAGTACATACACTTTGGAACGTAACACATTGTAAAATGGCTGAAATAATAGAATGTGGTTATGTAAAGACTTACAGCGCTATTTTTATGTTTGACATAGTTTATTCGTTGAAATAGGAATGCATAATACAAAGAAATAGTGAAGTTACACAGTGAGAAGAAGTGTATTATTCCACTACTGTATTGCGTAGTACAAAGATATATTCGCTGTTTGTTTCATTATAAAACAGCAAAAAAAAAAAAAAAAAAAAAAGGAAAAAAAAAGAAAGAAAATATGGTTATTTTTATAAAACTGAATATATAAAGTCTCCAGATATATATTTTTATTCAGGTATTATCATCTATGAGGTTGATTAATTTCACGGGCCCGGTTGCCTATGATTTATGTAGAAGATTTATTTTCTAGAAGAAGCATCAGCCGCTCCCCTAACGGATCCTCGGCGCGCCTGGCTTTCCTCTCCATAAGAAGCGATCTAGCGAGGGCATGATGGTCAGGATTAGGGGATTTAATTGCAGAATGCAGCAAAAGTTGAATGAATGTATCTCTCTGAAAAAAAGATTAATTGTGCCGCACGTTACTATGTTAAAGACTGTTTATCTGTACAACCAATAAAACATCTGAAAAAAGTAGTGCTTATTCAGCTGACTCAGTATTGGACATTAAACAATTATTTAAAAAAAAAAATTTAGAAAAATATATAACCACACAATAAGTAGTGTGACCGTTGAACCTTTTGCATTTTTTGTTAGTTAAATCCTGCAATGCTCTTCTTCTTTTTGTTGAATTGAGCTCAGTACCTGTGCAATACTTCCTCCGATTCTATGAAGTGACGCACGTATGGAGTTGAGACAGTTTGCCGCGGTTTCCATGTGCCCTTCTTCGTGGGCTGTTATCCCAGCACAGAGCGGTATTCCCACGTCAAGCGTTACCTGGGCGTTTGTGGCCGAGTTGTCTCTACAGATAGTAAAATGTTCTTAAGTACAGATCCACGTAACAATCGACCAGTAAGTGATGCTGGGATTCTCAGAAAGGAATGGTTTTTAACTCACAGTTGTTCTTTGACTACCAGTGTGTCATGTATTTAGAGACGCAAGAATTGTTTGAAATGACTGGTCAAGCAAAATGCTTAATCAGTTAAAAATGGGAAACAGGTATGTTTACCTGAAGTGTGTCTATTGCAAAAATATTTAAGAATGTATTTTTCTTGTTAAGCTACATAAGAAAAATAATAAAATCACTGATTTACCTTTCATTAAAATCTTTCAAACAATTCTTGCGTCTTTTTCACATAAAGCCAGAGGAAACTTAACCCTCTTTTGAAAAATAAAGACTTTATGTGTATTTTCACGTGATCGGCTAAAACATAATAGGACAAGAATATACAAGGCGATCACATATATAATGACTGAGGAATTATATCATGCCAAAGTTTAAAGTTTGTAATCATGGAAATTCATTATTTACTTTGCAGAACTTACTTCACATATTGTTTTAATTCTTCAAGCATATTATGTGCACGCTCTTTTTCTCCGTTTCTATGTAAACAGAGTAGAATGTGTGCATCCAGATACATCCACATGTGCTGCCCAGCTAACTTATCCACATGCTCAAGGATGCTTTTCCATCTTTGCGGAGCGTTTATATCTACAAGACATATGCATTTCAAAGGTAACATGTTTTTTTTTTTTAAATTACAACATTCTTTAATCTTTTTTGTTCAATATTCTAGGCTTCTGAGATGTTCAAATAAGTAAAATGTGGTATTTATCTACATGCATTTTCGAAAAGTGATATTTATTGAAAACTTTCCACTAAGTATACTTGTACTTTGGACTGTTTCCTTTTTTTTTTATTCCTGAAATGACAATTTTTTCCGTTGAAGAACAAGAATCATGTTTTTTTCATCCTAAGTGTGAAACATACTGCTTGCCTTCAAAAGACAAGCGATACAACAGAGAAGAAGCATCATTGAAATTTCCTGGACTCCCAAGTCTTGTTAATATCTGAAAAATTAATTCAAAAAATTATTAATTTCCTGCAACCTGAATTCATAAAATTTCTAATAGAACATCACTGTGTTAAAAAGATGAGAGTGTTTTGAGAAAAAAGTGTTTAATTTTACAAAATATTAAAAGATTTATTAAAACAATATTCCGTCTTTTATTACCTTTTCATCAAATGTCTTGACTGCATCATCGAATTGTCCCTTAAATGAATGAACTTACATATTAACATTCCATTAAGGTTCAGTTGATAATAAGAATATGATTTTACTTTTTGCTATGAATGAGAAAATAAGTTTCAAGTCATTACATGTATAGGCGAACTAGAGCACATAATTTTCAAAGCATTAGTCATAAAAAAGCATAAAATCTTTTTAAAAATCAAACATCACCACTTGTCATACATGTATGTCTAGTACACACTGTTAAGGAATGAGTTTTCTGTGACCATGTTGCTTAATGATAAAAAGGCAAATCTGAATTAACTTTAGCAAGATGAATCAAAGTATGCATAATGATTAAAAGGCAAATTTAAATTTACTTCAGCAAGATGAATCAAAGTATGCATAATGATAAAAAGGCAAATCTGAATTAACTTTAGCAAGATGAATCAAAGTATACAATCACATACCTTTTCTACATAAAATAAGGCTTCATGCCAAGCAATGTGACACGCCAAGCTTGCTGACTAAAACAATGATAAACATGGTCAAAATAAATGTACAATCCAAAGCAATACTACAAAATGTATGAAATTATTTACTTCTTATAGATTTTCTTCCATCACTTGTGTTTATTTCTCAGTCAATTCCTGCTAGCACAAAAAAGACCCCTCGCAGCTCAAATGGCTGTAGGTGACGAGTAAAGGACAAAATGTACAGCTCTTCACCGGCAAGTGGTGAAACCTCCATATAAGTGAAAAATTCTCGAGAGGAACATTAAACAAGATACAAACAAACAAACATCCTTACCTCCCAGTATTTGGCTTTACTCTGAAGGAAGGCCAATCCTGCGTCCAGCATGCCCTTCTCTAGGTGGATGTGAGCCATTGTGTGGATCGCAAAAACTTCGCCTGGAGAAACAGCTAAACTCTGAAATATTGATGTAGTTTATATATAATGATTAACTTATAAGATTTATGCATGTGTAACTTTCTAAGTTCTGACTTTAGTTTTGATTACAAAAACAAGCATATTTTTAAATTTCAGCTTTATTGATATTTTAAAACGCAAATTAATACAACGTAAAAAAAATCCATATTCTAATAGATGAAGGTAGTGCTAAATCTCTTAAGGACTCCTAAAGATTTAGCATGGTTACGCATCGATTAGATTCAAGAGTTCTTTTACTGCATAATCTATACGGTAATATGTTAAGAATATTTCTTTAAAAATGAAAATATTACAATTTTACATGTAAATCTGAACATCAATACTGTACTGGATAGACTACAGTTAGCAATGATTTTTGCATTTGTCAGTTTCACATTTATAAGTAATCAAGACTGTAATGGATCCCTACCCTAACACCAGAATCCCGTTCCCGGAGCCATGCATTTCATATAATTTTAAGAGATTTATTCTTATTCATCATAACACTGCACTGTGTCTCCTTCAAACATGTGAAACCAAGGAAAAGAGAGGGCATTCAATAATCAATGCATTTTTCTGCATAACAATCGAACATCAAACCTCTGACCAAGGGTTGTGAAATTCAAAGTATCAGAGAAGTTACATTTATGATGTACATAGGCAATTTAGCCACATATGATCCACATATGCATTGCCTTTCATATGTGGAACATATGTGGCTAAGTTGCCTGTATAGATTGTCTATGACGAAGAGGATCTTCAAGAACTATAATTTATATTTACAATACTGTATGATCTATAGTTATACCAGATCTGCAGCCCCTAAACTCAAGCTATGAAGGTTAAAGTTTTAGAGGAGGCAGTCAAAAATCTAAGCACATAGTCTGTCTGCTTGACACTATGAAGAAGAGGAGAACACAGAATTTAAACATTTTCATCATTTGATCAATATATTATTACCTTGACATTTAACCCCCTGACATTGGAAAAGGAATTATGAATTCACAATAAACCAAAAAAACCTTGCTCACAATAACTAAGCATTTCTTCATAACAACTAGCTAGATAATTAAATTGTCTGCATCATTTACTAGAGAAGAGAATATATTTAAGGAAAGTATACATTTTCAATACATGACCAATACACCCTTTCCTTTATGCACTAGAAGTCTTTACCCTGCATGGGTTATGACACT